GCCCCGGACGCGGAGATTCTGAAGATGGACATTAGACATTTCTTTAATAAAAAAGACGGCAATTCTCAAGTGGTGGCTCACAACAACCCCAGAGCCACCACCTGAGCCAGATGAACAAGGTATGTACCTGTCAGTAAACTTACAAGTTATGCGAACATGTAAGCAAAGCATAAATTATAGCTACGTTGACGTTACTTTGAATCGCGCGGGTAAGCTAAACCGTTAGCAAGTAGCTATAGCTAGCCAGATATATTAAATAAACACTTTGTCATACAATCTAAATGTTGTGTTTTTTAGCGTTACTTGGTGATTTAAAAGAAAGCTCTCTGGGAAATGTTGACTTACTGTCTGTGTTCGACATGAAGCTAGAAGATACCTTACATTACACAGTTGATCCTGATTCCTGAGTCCTGTCGTGTTTCATAGTTAGCTTAGCTAAGCATCAACCTAGCACTGAAATATATATATGGATGTTATGTGACAGTATTTCTGAGAAAAAGTCAGCTGAAATGGTGGCATAGTTGCCACTGCTTTACGCAGGCCCAGACTGGCCATCGGGAGGACCGGGAGGTTTCCCGATGGCCTGGCCTGGCCTGGCCTGTTAAGTGGCCTGCTGGCCTGAGGAATTTTTTTTATGTATTGTGAACGCAACGCTGCGCAAATGTGGGTCTGACTCTGCCTCACAGAGGGTGACTGGCTGTCTACATGATGTGGCCTGCCGACATGGCCACTTTCATACAGATCATACACTAATGCCCTCGATTGGTCTCGTGTCATTCAAGCTCGGGAGGGTGTGTATGTGTGGCGCGAGCAAGCGAGAGAGAAAGCGCGTGCACTGGTTACGTGTATTGTTGTTGTTAGCATCCGGTGCTAGCTAGCGGCGCTAACGGAATGAGCTGTCGACAAGGTGGAGGAGAGTCCTCTCCTGTCAGACTGAGAGACTGATAACTACAGCTCAGGTGAGGTAAAGGACTCTGAGTGTTTAGATAGTTAACTTAGTCTAAGTTCTCTGTGGGTCTCAAACGGTTTGGTCACCATTTATGTAAACACATATTTCCATTTGAAGGGGGGAGTGATTAGTAAAATATGCATGAATAATACAAAAAAAAAGTTAACTAGGTGAAAAAAGGTAGGATAAACTTTAAAAACGTATTGAGACCTAAAACTAGTCTTTGCTGCTGCCTCAAAGAGGAGCAGGGGGGAGACGGGTGAGGCTGGTTCAGGAGCCCAGACACACTATGCCATGCTAACTATAAATGAACCAAAAACAAAATAAATAAACAAGTTTCAATGTTTTTTCATATTGGATATGGTATGTTATTGGTTATGGCCATGTTCTTATGATTTTATGATTATTTAAATGTATACAGTTCTGTTTCATATGGGTGTAGTCTCTTTATTTCCCCCTCAAAGTACACCAGATTGATGCATTTAAGTCCAACATTTAAAAAAAAAAAATCTTCCGCGGGGAGCATGCCCCCGACCCCCCTAGAGGATTTGAGGTCCACCTCCACTTAAAATATGTTCACATGGATAGGTTCATAAATAGATTTGCACTTTTTAAAAAAAATAGTAACCCATGTCCATATGTTTATTCTGGGGTAGTTTTAAAGTTTATGGCTATCACTATGGGCAGCAATGCTGTAAATATTGACAAATAAATCCAGGAAAATTACACAAAATAAAACTGGTAGTGGCCTGGTTGGGTGTATAATTCCCGGCCTGACTTATTGTCCCAGTCCGGCCCTGGCTTTACGTGTCGACAGCATGTTTGAACGTATTTGCAGCAGTAAATGTGGCTGTCTGGCCACTGACGTTGCTATAACAACACCTGCATTTAAATGTGCAACCTCTTTTTGTGACAGATTTTGCATGAAAATATAATTCTTCTAATTTATATTTCCTATTGACAGCTAGTTTCTATGTGAACATTATGAGATGGACAGCCAGCTAAACAAGCTTTTTATACAAATATTTCAGATCAAAGCTAATCCAGTGGGCTCCCTGAAAGGGAGCAAGGGACACTATGCCTCCCAAATATTAAGCCTTGACCCGCATCTTAAAATTGATATGATCAACAAATGATCTGCATTGTCGGAGGCCTTTTTTCCTCATTATCATGTCAAATTGTACAGCTTTCCTTAGTGTTGAATGCAGAAAGATGACTATATTAGAGTATTAAGTGAAAATGACTATATTAAAGTTTTAAGTAAATATATTAAGTGAATTACTCAAACTGCATTTGTATAGAATGATTCTGTCCTATTGGCAGGATAACTACTCTAACAGTGATATCTACAAGAGATGTACATTCAACTATTTTCAATTGGTTAGTATTACATTTTGTGACAGTGTGGTGACACTCATTTTTAATGAAGACAAATGTGTGTATCTTGAAATTCATTATTTGACCAGAGCTGGAAACTGATTGACTTAAAACTTGTTTGTGTTTACCTACACAGTCATCACAGATGAGCCAAACAGAGTAAGAGGATGAAGAAAGGAGAACAGGAGAAAGGGACACACAAGAAGGAGATACAACAGACAAAGACGACAATGGAGACAACAATGAACAGGAAACACCAGAACAGACAAGAGTCAATGAGTAACATGATGATTTAGGGACTGCAGATACAGGGCCAAGGCAAGTGAGACACCCACTGCTTTCCATCCAGCATGTTTGGCCAGCAAAAGAGATCATTTCAACCGCAACAGCAAGTGATGAGGGATTATTATTTCCTCCTTCCATCCCTTTTTTCTGTTTAATCTGATTACTAACAACTTCTAATAATTGACATAGTTTATGATTTAATTGGAAAATGAAGTGTTTTTAAATAATAAACCCGTTGTTCTGATTCTTTGATTTCTTTTTGATGGGGTGTTGAGAGATGTATCCATATCTCTTAATGTTGCTCTCAAAGTGCACAAGATTGATGCTTTTAACTTCAGTATTAAAAAAAAGTCTTCCTGGGGGACCCCAGAGGAGGTGAGTTCCCCCCAAAATAGCACTTTTATCTCTGCTTATGTAACTCCGGTGTAGTGTTCCCCTCGTCAACAGATCACTCAGATCTGGTGATTACTTTCCTGCATTTCAATGGACAGCATATAAAAAGGACACGTGAGCTGCATTGCTTAAGAGATCCTCTCATGCTATCTCTTTTACAAAATAAGTGTCCAGTCAACAACAAAACATCAGTGATCGTATAGTGGTAGTATATTTTTCACAAGCAATGTGAAACATTAAACTTATACAAATGGTTGTACAAAACTCACATAGCTGCGTTGATCTCCTGGAGTGTCTCTACTCTTTCTTCTCCACATCTCTTGTCCACCATCAGAGATGCAAACATTTCAGAAACAGCTAGAGGTAGGAGACAAACAACTTGTTCGCTGGGCATGTCAAAAAACCTCCCTGCTTTGATCAAGACTTTAGGGAGCCTTTCAGCCCCTCTAGTAAAGGACTGGAAAGCAAGGCTTTGAAAATTCAGTACATCTACATGCTGTCATGTTCCAGACACTGCTCTCAACCACTCAGGGCCTGCACAAATACCTGCAGGAAAGAAACACTTGACTTGGTGCAGGCAGTAGATTACAAAACAGCAGTTGAGAACACACTGAAAAGTTACCAAAGTAACGAGAAGCACATGAGGTCTATGACAAGACCAAGGCCCTGGCAATGATCTTGATATTCCCGAAACTGTGACACAGAGGAAGAAGCGTAGAAAACACTGGAAGACTTTGTAGTCAAGGCATCATGTGGAGCAATGTGAAACATTAAACATAAATAAACTGGTGTACAAACTCGCATACCTGCATTTCAATGGACAGCATAAAAGGACACTATGAGCTGGGTTCTGTGCTCAAGATTAGCTATTGATGATCACGTTGATAAATCATATAAACAAATAGCCAATCACACTAAAAACATGTTGCTGTGGACTGTGAGCATTAAACAATTAACATTAAACTAAACAAACACAACAGTTACGTTATTGTCCTTATAAAATAAAAACATACATTTTGTCCACCGAGAAATACAGGCACCTTACCCTCAGAGATCCTCACGTGCTATGAGAATCTCCCACAATGCATTGCCGTAACAAAGCTAATGCAGCACACGTTTGTGACACCAGATGGCGCAATTGTGTATGTGCGTGTTTTGACTGTAGCGCCGCCACTGTGGGCTAAGCCCCGAATGTTTCCAGGTCCAGGCGACGCCCCTGGGTCTTACAAACCTACATAACATTACAAATAAGTCAGAAAATATTATTTACAATATTAATAAAACTATGAATTCAATTTTAACTGATTGACAAGGCAAAACACTGCACAGCGGCAGCAGCATTAAAGGAAACATCGTCTTACCTTGTGTTGGGGCTTCACAAAACTCCAAATGTAGCCTGGGGTGGCGCTAATGAAGACCCTCATTAGAGCAGATACATCCACATTGTCCAAAATGTTACTATGGACATGCATTAAAGTCAGATGTGTCTCTTCTGTGTCATATTACTCTAGTTGTAGAGGTGGTGGGCTGAGGAGTAGCTGGTGGTCCACTCTTTTTATTGGGTTGTTTGTTGGAGAAAAAAATCCAAAATCCTTTTTTGCGCCATTCTAGAAAGTTGTCACTCTGCAGTGTGTGTGTCGCGTCAATTACGTCACTCTCCCACGACCTATGACCTAGATGACTCGGATTTTATTTATTTGGAAAATAAATTCAAGCCACCTGATGTATACAAATATATACTATGACTAGTATATGCTACTGTATACAGCAAATTTTATTTTAAGTAAAATCATAACTATTTTATGTAGTTTAATAATTTGTATTTAGGTGGTCACTCAGTTTTTCAAATGTACACCACTCGCCAACAGGGGGTGCTGCAGCACCCCCAGCACCCCTACTTCCCGCGGCTATGCCCTGCAGACCCCCTGGAATAGATCATGGCTGCTAATGACCACACAGTAAAATAAACCATAAAGCACCATTTTAAAAAACACAGTTTTATTGCATCAATGTTTAATCATTTGACTTTTGTACAGATCTCCATATTTTACAATCACATAATTAATATGCCTCTAATAATAGTACAACTGAAAGTATTTCTATAGTCTACATGTTTTAAATATTACACATGCAAAGTATGTATAGGGTGTGCTTGTCTAATACAAATGCTATGTTATTAGCTATGTACAAAGTCACATAACGATAACACCATGCTATGAAGAGACACTGTGCGTTTCCCCTCCAAAATAAAAATCCTTTACACATGTAACTGTCCTGCAGGGGGCGAGGACAGTTTACAGTAACATGAGCTCAAATAAACACAAAACAAATACAAATAAAATCTACATTACAATGCTTTTTCAAAAGAAAATGTATGTTTGTCCAGTTAACATGCTAGCAGTGACTAGCTGTGAATTTGGCGGGACATTTTCACCACTGCTGCAAAATGATTTAAAACATGATTTGAATCAGTGTTACCTTTTCATATACAAAAAAGGCCAAAAACCAGTGTGACCTACAGTGATATGTAGACGGTCTTTGCACAAAGTGCCCTTTACTCAGTGTTCAAAATTGTAATATTAGTCATTTATTTGTGATTTTTCCTTCCATAGGCAAGAATATATATATATATATATTCTGTTTCAAATACAAGTAATGCTCTACCCCACAGTGTTGATAGATCAAAGTCAACATTTACGTACATACATACAAATCCTCATATTTTAACATTTAACATCAACAGTTGTCAGACATTGTGAATATAAAGCCTGGCTTTGCCAAAGTGCTTTCAGCTACACATCTCACTTCCCCTCTAGATGGCAGTCTTTCACCACCCTACAACCCTCTTCATCATTTCCCTGGAATGGACGACAGGCACAGTGCAAACACATTACAGGAGCAGACCAAATGTAACAGGACAGACATGTTTCAGGTTGATCTTGTGTTTCCACATTGGAACACGTTAAAGAGTCTATATTGTGTCTGGGTCACCTCTGTGGAGTTCTATGGCTTTGGCAAGAGGGTTGAGGGGGGGGGGGGGGGAGAGGGGGTCTTCACCTCCTGACCTGTTTGTAATGGGGAAGCCACCTCTCTCTCTGCTGGTCCCCCTCCCCCCTCTGAACCCAAGAGAGCAGAGAGCAACCGACAAGTCACACACACACACACACACACACACACACACACCACACACACACACCACACACACACACAGAGACAACACACACACACCAACACTCAGCAGAACCAGATGTATTTACAAAATATGCCTTACTTGATCTCATGCACTTGATAAACAGGTGTTTGTACATACATGTGACGTGATGATGTCAGAGCAGTAGTTCAGAGCACTCCTCAGTCAGAATCAACCTGTTAGGAAGTCACTCAAAGTTTGACAAGACCCTTATTTTACATAAATTGTTGAGATTCACAGTTCTTTATCTGTGGTCTTCACACAATAGGGACAATTACAAAATGAGAACATGTTGAATGCTAAATATATTTTTTTAGTTTAAATGATGGATTCAAATTCATAAAATGTGCAACAGTGATAGGGTCATAGATGGATAAATTATAATTCCTTTTCATTTTAACATGACACACTGTATAGATTTGTATAGAATAAATCCACCCTTACATGTATATATATATATATATATATATATACTGTACATCTATCTGTAAACCTTACAGCATTTACAAACTGCATGTTTTCACATTACCAAGTTTGAACCCAACTTCCATAATTCCAGCGTGTTATCCAGGAAAGATAAAAGATCCACCCTGTCATATGAAACGGTGGATCTTTTATTTGAACAGGACAAAGACAACTTTTCTTTGCACCTTAACAGTGTTCAACCAACAGTGAAGGAGGAGATCTAAAAACCACATTTCTGAGCTAGTGTGTTCTAAAATGAATATCACAGGGCCAAAACACAGGCCAGGAGTTACCATTCAACATTTTGACTGCACGCTCGACTGCTTGGTGTGGGTGGATGATCTGATGCCAGCACTTTATACCAGCCACAGGCGAAGGGGATGGAAATAGAAGGTTGGAGAGCTGGAGCACTGTGAACTGTGACGTACGGCTCTTTCTGCTTGAGTGGCAGCCGGGTCTATCATTATACTTCCAGGAAGCATAAGAAAATAACTATTGTTCCATTCCGTGGTTCCATTTCAGTCCTGGTGGCTCATCAGACTCCTGCTGGGTGGCAGATCTGCAGCTCTGAAAACCACTGCAGCTCTGAACTCCTGCACTCAAGCTTCTTTTTTTGTTACTTTTTTTTATTGCATCAAGGAAACATACACGACAGAGTATTATGTGTAATGTCAGCCCTTGAGTGTCCCTGTCAGAGAAAAGGGGGAGGAGCCTCCATGACTCCTCATGCTGGCTTCAGGTGGAAGATGGTTGCCACTTATTCGAAAAAAATGAAGAAGGAAACATTAAAAATGTATTTTCTCGATTTGATTTGTGTTCTTTCCTTTAGTTATTTTCCTATCAGCAGGGATATGATCTCACCGCCTGGCATGCACATGCAGGCTGCTCCCTGCTCAGTGGGCGGAGTTACTCCATGCCGTTCCTCAACATCTGGTTGGCTGCGATGAGCATCACGCTGATGATGAACGCCATGGCGAAGGCGCAGATCAGGCTCTTCCTCACGCACGTCTGACGGTTCTTCTTTGAAGGGTGGACTGAGAGAGAAATGAGAAGGAGACACAGGAAAGTGACAGCTTAAAAGACGGTTACACTTCTTTTTCTGACATGTTTGAATTTATCACCAGAGAAAGAAGATAATGAAGACAAACAAAGGGAGCACAAGAAAAGGTACACAAAACTCTAAGTAGCCTATTATATGTCATAAAAAAGCAATATACAAAAGAGTTGTTCATCATTAAAAATATCAAAATCATCAAATATTATGCAACAAAATGTCATACATAATATCATAGAAATTAATATTATAGTTTCCAATAAATAATAACAACAAATGGGATACTATAGTAAGACATAACATTCTTACAATAAAGTCAGTACTATACTATGTCTTCAAAATACTTGGTATACATGGTATATGCCACAAAATGTCATCATATAAAGTGGCAGTACACAGTAGTTTGTTAAAAAATAATGTACTACTATGGAATGTCCTAAAAGAGTGAAATGGTAACATATATAACAGAAAGACATTTTACAATATAGTATAACATGACAACACGTCATAGTATAGTATGTAATAACAAGTCATTATAAACACACTCAATGTGGTTTACAGTATAACAAGTTAACCAAAAGTCAGAAGGGAAAGTGTTTACTTCTTTAGTCTGTGTCAAATGCTCTACCCTAGGGGAGAATAATGCCATTCAAACTTAAATAAAACAGATGTCTTAAAAATCAAGTCTAGCTTCTGTCAAAATGCTTTTTGGTTTGTTTGTAAAAGCAATGGAATATAGACCTAAGGCAGAATATGACTCCAAAAACCAAAGGCTTGGGCTATAAGAGGTTGGACATTGACAGGTAATGCTCGGAAAGCCTAGCATAATAAAGTAACATGACAAGGCTCCAACAGGTCTGTACTGAAAACCTGTTTGCTAATAAAAGTGTCCCTAATATCAAACTGGGATGCTCCATCTACCCCTATTGCTTCATTCTGCATTAGGAAATGTTCTAGTGGTTGTAGTATTTATGATGGCAGTAAAGGTTTAAAGGAAGACAAAGTCTGTCATGGTTGACACGTCTCATCAACATTGCGTGGAAGTCGGAAAACAGTACCGAAGGAGTGGCAGACCGGGGTGGGTGGTTCCCCTTTTTAAAAAGGGGGATCAGAGGGTGTGTGCCAATTACAGAGGCATCACACTACTCAGCCTCCCCGGGAAAGTTTACTCTAAGGTACTCGAAAGGAGGGTCAGGCCGATTGTTGAACCTCAGATTGAGGAGGAACAATGCGGATTCCGTCCTGGTCGTGGAACGACGGATCAGCTTTTTACTCTCGCAAGGATCCTGGAGGGGGCCTGGGAGTACGCTTATCCGGTCTACATGTGTTTTGTAGACTTGGAGAAGGCGTATGACCGAGTTCCCAGGGAGTTCTGTGGGAGGTGCTGCGGGAGTATGGGGTGAGGGGGTCTCTACTCAGGGCCATCCAATCTCTGTACTCCCAAAGCGAGAGCTGTGTCCGGGTCCTCGGCAGTAAGTCGGACCCATTTCCGGTGAGGGTTGACCTCCGCCAGGGCTGCGCTTTGTCACCTATCCTGTTTGTAATGGATCGGATTTCGAGGCGTAGTCATGGGGGAGGGTGTCTGCAGTTCGGTGGACTAAGGATTGCACCACTGCTTTTTGCAGATGATGTGGTTCTAATGACTTCATCGGTCTGCGCCCTTCAGCACTCACTGGATCGGTTCGCAACCGAGTGTGAAGCGGCTGGGATGAGGATCAGCACCTCCAAATCTGAGGCCATGGTTCTCAGCAAGAAACCGATGGACTGTCCACTCCAAGTAGGGAATGAGTCCTTACCCCAAGTGAAGGAGTTCAAGTATCTCGGGGTCTTGTTCTCGAGTGAGGGAACAATGGAGCGTGAGATGGGCCGGAGAATCGAGGCAGCGGGAGCGGTACTGCAGTCGCTTACCGCACCGTTGTGACGAAAAGGGAGCTGAGCCAGAAGGCAAAGCTCTCTGTCTACCGGGCCATTTTCGTTCCTACCCTCACCTATGGTCATGAAGGATGGGTCATGACCGAAAGAACGAGATCGCAGATACAAGCGGCCGAGATGGGTTTTCTCCGCAGGGTGGCTGGTGTCTCCCTTAGGGATAAGGTGAGAAGTTCGGTCATCCGGGAGGGACTCAGAGTTGAGCCGCTCCTCCTTCGCGTCGAAAGGAGCCAGTTGAGGTAGTTCGGGCATCTAGTTAGGATGCCACCTGGGCGCCTCCCTAGGGAGGTGTTCCAGGCACGTCCAGCTGGGAAGAGACCAAGGGGTAGACCTAGGACCAGGTGGAGGGATTATATCTCTTCGCTGGCCTGGGAGCGCCTTGGGATCCCCCAGTCAGAGCTTGTTGATGTCGCCAGGGAAAATAAAGTTGGGGCTCTCTGCTGGAACTGCTACCCCCGCCGACCCCGACCACGGATAAGCGGGAGAAGATGGATGGATGGATAGAAAGTCTGTGCATGGAGGATTCTGCAGTTGATGGGTGAATACAAACCTTCCCCCTGGAGACTGTGGTCTGTTACCTCTGTGAATCCAATGTGTCCAATGTTAATTCACGTCACATACTCAACTAACAGATTGAATTAATGTTTCTACAAACATACTTATTTTTTACCAGAATAAAGCTAACCAAGTAGTTTACTTTGAATTGATATCTTTATCTACATGTTGAAGTCTCAATGACTACCCAGGACAAAAGCGTTCCTTATTGAGTGAGTGTATACGGGTTGGGAGTGAGGGTGTGTTGGAGGATGTTGGGACTGCGTTCACACCTGCCTTGTATAGTCCGGTTGAATCGAACCCTGGTGCGTTTAGCCGCTTGGTGCGGTTCATTTGGGTCGGTGTGAACACAATCCGAGACCTCTGAAGTGAACTAAACAACCGGACTCTGGTCCGCTAAAATAGGTGGTCTCGGAGCGCTTGCTTGCGAACTCTGGAGCGGTTCATTGCTGGTGTGAACGCAGTCCGCACCAAAACATAGGAAGCGTAGTATTTACGTGTCACAAGAACGCGGATATCTTCAAAATCTTTACTGAAAGAGTCTTCCAAGACATCCGCGGTTGTTTAGTTAAAGAGTGAAGCAGAATGAAGTGTTGAACAGTGTCGTGTAAAGTAAAAATTCTCCGTCAGCTACATAAAAGTAAGAACACCTGTCGTCGGTGAAACGCCCCTCCTTACTGCAGAACGTCTCTCATTATATGTGTTATAATGTTTTTTTAACGGACGTTGTCTGATTATATGCGCGGGCCGCTAGTGTCTATTGATCTCCAGATTAACAGCAGCATGAGAATAACCTGCAGAAAGTACCGATGCTCCATGGCGGAGGCTCCGGTAGAAATTGCCGGGATTTGCGTGTTTACCCCCTTAATGTCTGACCAATGGTTGAACAGCATTTCCGTGCACATGACTTGTGTTTACAGTTGATAGTCCGTTTGAGTTTTGCCCGTGTGAACGCAAACCGAACCTTCTGAAAAATGAAACAATGTAACAAACTGTGGTCTGGTGCGCACCAGAGAGCGGACTATTAGGTGTGAATCAAGCCCCCAGGAAGTGCGCCGTACTCTGATGAGAATATTCGTTGTGGCCAAACGGCGGTACTACACTTCCGTTAGGTTGCTGGGCCCGGAAACACTTTTTACCATTGACTTACATTGGGAAAGAGTGGTCTGTAACTCGTTGGATAATTTTTTAAAAACTAAATAAACTACCCAGTATGAACGTTTGTATAGCCCTTATTAAAAACATTCGTTCCTCAAGTTGTAAAAAATGTGCTAATAACGTTATTCTGAGAGTTATTTCCCTCTGCATTATGAACGCGCATCTAACCCACGGGACCGCGCCGCCCGGCACGTTCATGTTACGTGTTCTGTAACAGTTTGGAGGATTTAGCAGCCTGGTATATTACACAGTTTTAGCGGCATATATAAATATATAAATATATATATATATACACATATATACACATGGTTGGTATTTAACAAAAAGGGGTGTTATAGTCTGTGTTGTAGTGTGTGATATTGGTATTTATGGTAACATTTTACACCTTTCCTTCAAGTATTATACGTTTTTGTTACTTGTGGGGTACTTAACATGAATAGTCACAGTTACTATCCTTTTACTCCATCACATTTCAAAGAGAAATAGGCTATTGTTATTTTAACTCCACCACAGTAATCCATCATCAGCTTTACTTTTTAGATAAAGATTTAAATCACAATTGATCATAACAGGCTGCAGCTGCTAACTGCCGCGGCCGCCTCGTTAATATCAAATCCATCATAACAAATCCAGTACCATGTTGTCATGAACACGCGGTGCTGTTACGTGTTCAAATTGACGTGCTTGATGTGAACGAGCCTTTTGGGGGGCGTGGTTAAAGTTGTGCATGCTCTATGAGCGCACATACGGGTACTTCTCAGGCATGACGGGTAATCTGTGACGTTTCGCTCTCTCAAAAGTTTGCCCATTTTAACATCATGCGCCAATGAGCAGCTCTCATAGGAATGAATGAGGCCCCGCCTCCCACGCTGTATCCAGTTCTTATTATACATCCATGGTGTGAATGCACCCTTAGACCCCGTTTACACGAGGACGAAATAACTTGAGTGCAATTAAATGAAATAGATATTCAAGTAGAGACAAAGATTCAAACAACCAGACTTGGGGAGTGACAGAGCTCATGTAAAGGGATTATGTAATTAGATTACAAAAAAAGGAACTGTAATCCTAACAAAGAAATGACTTGCATGATTACAATGTTACAATACATTTTCAAATGGAAATGTGTTCTTCACTTATTTTGTATGCAATAGATTGATACCTTATCTGTTGGACAACTTAAACAAAATAAAATTAACATGTAGAAAACTAAAAGCAGCATTTTTAAGCTGTTCTGTTCTGTAATACTTAATACTTTAAGTGTGAATCTATACGCCTACTGCTTTATGGTTTTCACTTTCTTTGGTTAATTTGTTCTGTTTTTAATTCAGCAGGTGA